TGTGCCATCAATCCCTGGGGCCTCCACAGGTGCTTTGGACGTCTGGCAGCTGCAGGTCTGGTGTGAGCAGAGGGATTCTTCTCTTGTCTCCCCTCATGAGCAGAGCATGCCAGCCAGTTGTGCTGTTTTACATGTGACTGACCCACAAAACTGCAGGAGACTGAGGACTTGTAACAGGTGCAGGACAGGTTCAAAAGGAACTTGGGAAAACTCTGTCTTTCTCAGTCCAAAGGGACAGCAGAGCTCACACCTGCTCACAATAATCGTCTGGAGAGTGGAGCAATGTTTGTATGGAAAGATGACTAGGGGTAAAATCAGAGGAAACAGAGAAGTTACGTTTATATTCTAACAGGAGTTATAATGGGACAAAAATTTTAGGGTAAAATACAGGTGCTTTTCCCAGGATAGAACTGGGTTGGCATGCTCCATGATGATTCCCCATGCAACCATAAGCACCTGCTAAGGGTAGTGGAGTGGGATGGAGACACCACAACCAGGGCCTGCCAAAATCTTTGCAGGGGCAGCAACCTGATGGTACTTTGAAGCTGATTAACTGCATTGCAAGGGCTATTTGGCATTTGCAGGAGCACTTATCAATTTAGAGGAGGCACCTCTAAGTCCAAAGCCAGCCAGACCTTATGTTCTTAGCACCATTCATTTAGAAGAAATCCTGTGACATTTGCAAATTTAAGAGGTGACACCCCCGTTCAGACCCTCCTGGGTGCGAACAATAGCTCTTTTCAACAGCACGGAAATCTGCACGCCCTGCTGTCTCAAGGTCATTTCACTTGAGAGTCCTGAGACGCAAATCCAGCCAAGGTCCTCGTTTCCAGAAAACTTCTGCTGTAAGAAATCCTGCAAAGTTTGCAATTCTAGGAGTGGAAATCCCACAGGAAACACAAGGCTTCAGGCTCCAAATGGGATCTCTTTTCCACACAATGGAAAACTCAGCAAGCCCTTCTGACAGGACCAGTTCACAGGAGGCCCACAACTCTCAAGGGCCAGGCAGATCCAACTCCACAGAAGCTTTAATCTGAGAAAAATCATGTGATGTTGGTACTTTTAAAAGGCAGAATGGCACATTTAGACCCTGGCTGATGCTTCAGAGAGTGATTCTTTTACACAATAAATAAAGATTTCCATTCCAATGTCTGTAGGTCACTTTGGAGACAGCCCCTGAAAAACAAGACCAAGAAGAGCCATAGTTCCTGGCAGCTGTCATTCTGGGAGGAATCCTATGACATTTGTGATTCAAGAAACCGAACCCAAAATTTCAACACCTGATATGCAGACGCAAAAGACTGCTGTTTTCCTGAGGTAAGAAATACTTCAAACCCAGCATTCTTAAAGAGTTCAGAATACACACCCAGGACTGACATGCCCCGCAAAGTGCTGCCTCCTGGCAGATCGCCTCTATGGTAAACCCTGTCACACTAGAAATGCTAGGAAGCAGAATCCAAACTACGGGACAAGCACCTGTAAGGAAAAGGTACCTCTGTTCATGAGGTAGAATAACTTCCACCCTAATGTTTCAGAGCAAGTTGACATGAGCGCCTAAGGGAGGCCAAGGTCACCTACACCTGTACTTCCTAGAACCGCTGGTGTCAGAGGAATACTGCGATGTTTGCAGTTTCACAGCCGGAAGGAAAACTGGCGCTGGGTCGGGGGGCGGCAGTACCGTTCTCTGTCCACAAGGCGGCAGCACTGCCGCCGAGCTCAGCCCGGGGCAGCGACGCACACTGGGGGCAGGCAGAGCACGGAGGCAAAAGGCGCCAGAGAGCCCTTTCTGTCCCCTGCAGCCCCTGCAGCCGTTCTTACGGTTTCAGGGCACTTGAGTCTTCACCCCCTTTTCCTCACCCCCAAAGAAGGCACAGTACGAGTCAAACTGCCCTTGACAGCAGCGCAGAGCTTCCTTCAAGCCCTTTCCACATGTACATCCCCCTAGAAAGGGACTCCGCAGCAACAAGAAAGGGGGGGCAGCCCCCAGAAGGGTTGAAGTTCTTCCCCAGCCTCGCTGTCACCGGCGAGGGGCAGAGAGAGGGAGCGGCAGGGACGGCACGCCACAGAGCGGGGGCCGCTCTCAGCGGGATGTCGGGAAAGCCGCAGGTCCGGCAGTGCCGGGCGGTGTGTCTGACCGGCATGGGGGATCCGCCGAGACCCCCCGGCCCCGTGCGGGGACTCCTGCAGGGGCCGAGGGGCGCCGGGCTCCGGCCCTCTGGGCTTTATTCTCCAGCGCCCCGAGCTGCAGCGAAGAAGGAAAGGGGGGACGGGAAGAGAGGAGCGATAGCAGGGGATGAGAAAGGGTAGGGAGGGAGGTCGTGCTGGGGAGGAAAGCGGGAGGAGAAGTGAAAGCCAGGGAGCGGGGGAAGAGGGACCGTGGACAGAGGAGGGAGAGAGGGGGAATAGAACGGAGTAGCGGAGTAGGGACGGGACAGGAAGGATCCGGGTTTGGGGGCAGAGCAAAAGGGGGAAAAGGAGATAACTAAGGGGAATGCGGGGAGGAGGAAGGAGGGGTAGAGAGAGGGACAGGAGGGGAAGCCTCACAGAGCCCCGGCTCCATCCCGAGCCCGTCCCGCCCTGCCCGGGATGCTGCGCTCGGCGGAGCTCGGCTCGGTTCGGCAGAACCCGGTCTTGGGCTAAATTCAGCTGTTATCGGCTAAACTCGGCTATTGTCGGCTGCATTCCGTTAGATTCGCCTTCGTTCGGCTCTTCGTCTAAACTCGTTTAAATTCGGATTTTCGTCTAAATTCGGCTTGTTTCATCTCTTCGGCTGAACTCGGCTCGGTTCGGGTAGACTCGGTCATAATCGGCTCTTCGGCTAAACTCGTATATCACCGGCTACACTCGGCTATTTCGGCTACACTCGGCTATTTTCGGCTCTTCGGCTAAACTCGGTCACACTCGGCTATCATCGGCTCTTCGGCTAAACTCGGCTATCATCGGCTAAACTGGATTTTCCCGCCCCCCCCCGCCATGTTGAGAAGGTCAAGCAAGTCAGGCGACGCGCCACTCCCAATATGTCGACAGCGAGAGGACCTCGGCAGAGAGAAGCGTTTTCGCCGATGCCTGTCAGCAACCGACCGAAATACCCCCCCCCGCGGCGCCGCTGAGCCCACAGTCCGTGTCCAAGGCACTGGAAAGGACACAGAAAATTCCACCGGGGCCGTGCTGGCGTCGGGGTGCCGTGCAGGCAGTCCAGTAGACGGAATGTGGTCCTCGTTTTCCCGGTTTTTTTTCCCGCCATCTTGAGAAGGTCAAGCGCGTCCCGGGCCACCCTCTCCTCCGCTGTCGCCCGCTGCAGCACTTCGGCAGAGAGCGGCGTTTTCGCCGCCGCCTCTCGGGGGGCTGCAGTACCGCGCTCTGTCCACAAGGCGGCAGCGCTGCCGCCCGCCCCAGCCGGGGCTGCGGGCAGGGAAGGGGCAAAAACGAGCAGTTGCGATCCCCTCCAAAAACTCCTCTAAAATAAATGCCCCAAAACCACTCGGAAGAAAACTAAAAAACCTGCCTCTAACCCAATAAGAACCAAAATTAAGACCCCTTTTAGACAATATTTAAATTTTTTTTTGTAGTTTTCATATTTATATTTATAATGTATATTGATGTATGATGTAATATATATTCTATATTACATCTATTCCTATTACTTTATTTCTATTTCTATTTTTATATATATTTTTATATATTGATTATATACTTCTATATTTAGATTTATATTTCTATAATGCTTATATAATTTAAAATAAGACCCCTGTCTCCACCCAAATAAAAACCAAAAAAGCTTTCTTTTATACCATATATAAATTTTTTAAAATTTATATCTTTCATGTTTTTATATTTACATTTGCATTTAAAATGTGTATTGATGTATAGTGTTATTTATATTCTAAATTATATATCTTCCTATTACTTATATTTATATTTTATATTTCTATATATATTTTTAGATATTTAGTATATTTCTATATTTAGAATTATATCAAAATATGTATATTCATAGTATTTAAAATAAAATCCCTGCCTCTAACACAAAAACCAAAAGCCCTTTCTTTTAAACTATATTTAAATAGTTTTTATTTATATTTTTCATAATTATATTCACATTTGCATTTATAGTTTTATTGATGTATTATATTGATAAATATATAATGTATATCAAAATGTAATGTAAATAAATTATTAATAGTATATATAATATGCACTGCTATACTTATATTTACTTAGCTTTTTAATTTTTATATCTTTATATATTTATTATATATTTCTATATTTAGATTTCTACCTTTATTTTATTTATAATTTTTATAATAAAAACCCTGCCTATTGCCAAATTAAAAACAAAAAACCCTTTATTTTAAACTATATTTAAATATTTTTACATTTATATTTTTTATATTTACATTCACATTAACAAGTGGTTATATATTATATTGATGTATGATATTTAGACAACATATATGACATATATAATAAGATATATATAATATAATTTGTACTATGTATTGTATTGATAGAAAGGAAAAGTTAGAAATAGTCTTAGAAATAAAAAGAAATAGAGAGAATAAGAAATACAGTTAGAGAGAAATAGAGTTGAAGAGCAAAGGAAATAGCATAAAAGTTAAACAGAAAAAGAAATAGAGTGAAAAAGATACAGTTAGAGAGAAGTGGAAATAGAGAGAAAAAGAAATACAGTTAAAGCTAGAGAGAAAAATAAACAGAGTTCAAGTATAAAGTATATAGAGAAAAAGAAAGTGAAATAAGGAAATAGGGAAACAGAGAAACAGAGGGGAAACAGTCATAGAGAAGCAGAGAGATAGAGTTAGAAACAGTGAGAAACAGAAACAGAGCTAGAGATGCAGTTAGAGACAGACAGAAATAAAGTCCGAAATAGAAAAGTGAAGTGAGGAATAGACTGAAAAGTAAGGTGAGAAGCAAAGCAAGAAATACAGTGGAAAAAATGACTGAACCACACCAAAGAAAGACAGGAGCCAAAGGGTGGGGGGGTTGCTTTAGGGTTGACTCAACTTTATTGAAAGAATCAGACCTGACCCCACCGCTACCTGCGCGTCTCCTGCCTGTCTCCAGCACCACTGAATCTGCCACGCGTGTCCCCACACCAGGGACGGTGACAGAAAATCACACTAGAAGCACGGTGGCAGTGTCAGAGCTGGCTCAGGTTCAGGCAGGCAAATGGACACCTTTCTGACGAGCGGGGTCCTTCTGTGGCATCATTTTTGTCCCTACCCAAAAGCACGTGTGCACGATGATGCCATCTTCAGACGAACATGATGAGTCACATACAGCCATCTTTGGTGTGGCATCACGTGACTTTCGCCCTCATTTGCTGTCTTTGTTACTGGCAGATGTCACTTCCAGTTAATCACCGCCACCTTTGGATGTGGTATCACGTGACTTCCACCTGTCATCGCCATCTTGGGATCTGGCAGAAGCCACTTCTGGCTACGCCCCCATTGTTTCTGTAGCAAGGAAAAAGGGCCCTCCTTCTCAGAAAGGTGCCCGTCCTGCTGCCTGAGCCAAACTCCAACTCTGCTCTTGGCCCATCGTGTCCCCACGCTGGAAAGCGCCACACAAGATCAAGCTGCAAGTGCGGAGTCGTGGTTGGGCCTCGGGTCAGGCTCAGACAGGCAGGAAAAGGAGAGAGGTCCTGCCGCAATGCCGTTTTGTCCTCCTCAAAGCGCATGTGTGACTGGCCGCCATCTGGGAAGGACGGTGTCACGCACATGCCTGGGCCGCCATCTTGAGTGTGGCATTTCCCACGGGAGCTGCAGTACGCAGTGCTCATCATCAGGCAGCAGCAGTGATTGTCCCGGCAGAGATCTCCAGCTGTGTCAGACAGAAAACCCTCTGAACACTGACAGCTATTTCTACTGCCTTCACAGAGATACTTTCTTCCATTTTCAAGCCCTTATTATATACATAAAATTATACTTGCATTTTTAAACCCTCTGTATCTATATTTAGAATTTCTTATAATCCAAGATCCTTGTATACAATTCAGTAGATACAGGATTGTAGTTGCAAGAAATTTTTTTAAAAAATTCTTTTTATATAGAGATAAGGAAGGCTACAATTTTTAATATTTTTTGCACAAACACAGCCCCTAAACTTCCAAGCATTTTTTGGCTGTAACCTCCATTTTTGGGAGGACCCCACCAAACCCCTCTCACACCCAACTCACCTTCTCTTCCACTGCATCTTCACTCTCCCAGTGACACTGGGGTGCCCCAAATTACATCATCACCAACCAGACTCCAACTCCTATCCTTTTTACTCGCCCCCAAAGGAGGTACAAAATGAATTAAACTAGTCCAGACAGCAGGGTGTTGGTTTAATAATCCCATTTACATACATACAGCCCCCCTCCAGAAGGGGCCTCCATATAATTTCTTATATTCTAAAATCTTGTAAAGAATACATATATTTTTATTTTAAAATGCATCTACATACAAATTAGTATTTTTTTCTGTATACAAAAATGAGAAACTTTACAGGTTTCAATACATAAATAAATATGAGCAGAAATTCTGTATTTATTTCAGATATGCTGATGTCCACAGTTACACAAGCACAGTGTGCCAGTAATAACATGACTAGCTATATTTAATACTAGGATATTTTGAATGGCAATATGTAACAAACCAAGTGTGTCTCAATCTGCTATTCAAAGAAGACTAATTATAATCTGATAAGACGCAGCTCGGGATCTATCTCTAATTACCTCACTTCTGGTTAAATTACAGCTCCTGACTGTAAAATCCCTGAAAAATCAGTTTTAATCTATTACTCTCCTCAAGCTAAAATAATTGTGACAACATAATGGCATTAACATTTAAAATTATATTCTTGCATATCTAACACAGAACTTTATCCAATACCAAAATGTATTGAGAATCTATTCAGTCTGCTTCTATATATTCTGTGAATACAGTGAATTACCATAAGTCTACTGTTGTTAAAATATAATTTTAATGTATCCAGTTCCTAGAGCGTGTATATTGTAGAAGAAAAAATACCTGCAAAGGTCTGGGTTCACTTCTAATTTCTTCCAAAGAGCTGCATATATTTTTGTATTTTGAAGTACTGATGTAAAAGTATGTATTTATTTGTATTTGTAGTTGACTTGCTTTGACAAAATACAGAAAACTTTGCTTGCTATTCCTCAGAAAAAGAGTTTTGTCAAGAGCAGCTCTATTATTTTTGTATGGCTGCTATACAGATAACATATGATCCAAGTCGTTACAGAAGAATTCATCTATACTTACAGCAAGTCTCAGAATTTCACACATAGATGTTTCTTTAGGGTGTGTTTTTCCACAGAACAGGGTTTTTTTGGTAGCTTTTACGTGTGTCTGTAGTTCAGCATCAAAGAAACTTAGAGGGAACACCTGGAAAATTTTCAGTGTTGGTATGACTACAGGGCACACATCATTATGTTCAGGTCTCATCACTGTAATCCCCAAAACATCCAACAACTTCAAAAAGCAACAGACTGAAGACATCAGTTCATTGCCTCCAAAAAAACAGTACCTACAAACAATGAGGGTTGATGTGACATTAGCACTGCGAGTGCCATTTACATTCCTTTTTTTGTTGGTGTTGCAAGACTAGAAAAATCAGCTTTCATACAAAAAAACAAGCAGGGACCAAAAACAGCCCTAGGACATAGGTAAAGCCACTACAATACACAAACAGAACTTGGCAGGACAACACAAAACTATCCTTTCATGTCTCAGGCAAGGAACAAATGTCTCACAGCTGCATGTGGGCAGCACAACGTGGCCTACGCTGCTTTCTTCTAAAATACCAAAGCAAAAATTCTCACCAAGACATTTCTAAATGTTTTTGGCAGCACAATGGTTGAAGAATACTGAACCACACTAGATAAATACAGTTAACCAGAGTTCAAAGTAATTGTTTGTAAAAAAGTAACAATTTCAAACTACAATTACACATTATTCCTTGATTTCTTTGATACGCTCAGTGTTAGAAAAAAAGGCAAGCCAAATGAAACAAAAAACAAAACCAGAAACTACAATGAACAAAAACAAACCTCCCCCCAAACCCTACCCTTAAAGTTTGCTTTAGGCCAAAATGCTGCTGAGTTTCAAAAGGAAGTCTTTATCATAGACTGCACAGCTGTAAAAATATACATTAACAACTACAAGATATTTTAGGACAGAAAAGTGTGTTTGAAAATGCAAATATAATCCTATTTTTTACTTTTCTCATTAAAAACATTTGAGAGAAACAGTGTTGAAGTCAACAAAATAGCATTATTAAACCCAACCCTGCTCTTTAAGGTGATCTTCAGTCTTTTGACACAGTCTTTTATCCTAATTTTCCCTCCTCAAAAGTCCTCCAGTGTTCCTGCAGACTGACATGGCTTAGGAAAGTAGTGAGAAGTCTTTATGCTTAGTTGTCACAGAAAACATGCAATGTTTTTTGGTTTTTGCTATCTCAGCCTTTGTACAAAGGACGCTAAAACCCAAAGGAGAGAGTGATTTCAGTATTGCCTTGGGCCCTTTCTGTCATGCTGGTACAGTTCTAGAAGCCCTATTTTGACGAGACAGAAGAACCAAGAGAAAAGGTACAGAGAAGAAAAAAAGGTGTCACAAAAATGCAGGAGAGAAAGGGAGAGGCAGGGCAGGGAGGACCCAGGACACACAAAACAGGGTCAGGGCCCAGGGCCTGGGACTGGCTGCAGCTCCAGCTGTCACTGCTGCTTCTTGTCCTTCTGGCCTCCCTTCCTGCTCAGCATCTCAGGGGGCACACCTATCCTCCATCTAAGAACAACCTGAACACTAAGAATACTTAGAATAGACAAAGCTGCAGCTTAAATATTACTTTAAAATGAATAGCTGGAGTGCACAGCCCAAAGATCATGGGCTACCACAACTGGCTTTGCAGTTCTGCAAATCAGAAGTCTCTCCCACAGAAGCTCCTCCCAATACTGAGCAGTTTCGCCTAAACAAGGATTTGAGGACTCTGCCACATTACAATACACTATATCCTCTTTCACTGTATCCAATACAGTAGAACTGGCATCTTCCACTTCTCCTATTAAACCAGAGACAGAACAGCACAGAGCCTTAGGACTTCCCAAGAACATGAGGCAATCTAAGGGATGGCAGTGGGTGTGTCTGCATCAGCAGAGCCCCACGAGTCCTGCTGCTCCCGAAGCATTCAAGTTCTCTTCAGCCCAGGGCCAGAGAGCTCCCAGTTCCAGGGAGTGTACCAGTACTGGGACAGCTCTCAGTCCCAGTTCTGCTGCTCCCAGGAGCAGACACCTTCCTGTATTTGTGTATGAAAGCATCAGTCTTGCCCAGGCTAACGGCATAGACACCCTCTGGCAGCAGAGACCCGAAATGTCTGCTGAGAACAGATTTTCCACCCCCCTGGGCCAAGGAGGAGGAATTCCCATCCACACTTGGGGCTGCTCCACTGTCACCATCAGCACAGGCCTCAGCAGGGTCACCTCCAGCACACCTGGTCAAACCATCCATGGCTTGTGCAGGGGCAGTTCCACTGTCACCATCAGCAGAGGCACCTCCAGCACACCTGGTCAAACGATCCACGTGTCTGCGGAGCTCCTGGCTCAGCAGCAACACCAGGGTCCCTCCAACACGAAGCACTCTGGCAATCACAGGAAAAAGAAAGGTTAGATGTTGATCCCTTCTGGCATCCCTTTGCCTGTGCAGAACTTTGCCACTGCTGACACTTCAGATGCCACCTGCATTCAGTGAAACACCGGAGTGTGTCAGCTCAACTCAGTGAGCTGCACCTCCAAGAGGAATTTAAATCCCCCATCTTCTTACCTCTTTCTAAATAGGAGAACAGGGCCCTGTCCTGACTCCAAAACATTTCTGAATGTTAGTAGTTATTTCTATTGGGTTAGCAGGGAAGAGAAACTAATTTTTTACCGCACTCAGCATTCTTTCAAGCATCAAGGGCACCATCAAGCCCAGGGTTTTTGGAGATTGCAAAGGAACAGCCTGCCAGTGCAGCAAGGGCTGCTCAGATTAGCATGGTAATTCTGAAACTGGCCCTTCCTTTTGGAAACTTCAAAAAACAGCCTTTTGGAACTTGCCCTGTTCCACTGATCCTGAATGGCTTTCAAACTCAGGAAGCAGAAGAAAATTAATCAATGTTTGCAATTAATTTTTCTAGGTATGTGTCCAAACATTACACGTGGCTTTGAAAGAAGGGAAAAAGAAATACTATCCTGACTCAGTTTACAGTAAGTAGTTTGAACAGCTTTACTGGTGGGGCTCTCATGGCCCCTTCTTCAGGGAATATTTTACTTAGGATGGACCAATAGAGCAAATAAGGCCAGAAAACAAGATTGCCATACCATTCTGTGGAGCCATGCAACCTTCTCCATCACCTTCCCACCACATTCCTGCATTGGCTGAGTAAAATCAACATCTGCTGAAGAACAGTCCTAGAGAAAGGGCTTCTTTTCAGGCAAGAAGTAGAGGGGAAGATGGCTTGACCTGTCTGTTAGAAGCAGCCCAGCTATCAGCTTGGCCCAACTCTGCCACCTAAGGACACGGTGAGAGATGAAAGGACACACCAAAAACCAGCCCAGGCTGCTAGTGAGGCGTTCCTGAACAGCAAGGACAATGAATGTCCCTTCTCCTAGTCTTGAGATCCTTCCTGCCAAGGCAGGCTGGTCAAAGCTTGGCTGTGACCTCAAAAAGGAAAGACTTAATTTATACAAGCAGGCCTTAACTAGAAAAGGATTATAGCTTTATTAGCCTGGCCACGCTTTAACTTTGTCCAGGTAGGCCTCTCCTCTTTCTCCTTCCTGCCACACTGGAGTATGGCTCAGAAACATTTCCCAATTGTAAATTGCCAAGAGCATTTGAGAGCATGGCTCACACAGGATCCTCCCTTGGCAGCTCACAGCTGGTGAAACACAACGTAACAGCCTCCAAGGGATGAGTAATGGGCTGAGACCTCCACAGCCTGCACAGGGTCACACGACAGAGTTGGAGACTATGGAATAAAGCAGATCTGAAGCTGGCTGAATGCTGAGGTCACAAACCATTATGGCATGTCCATCAAACCCATGAGGGTGCCAAAGGCCACACGTACCTCTCCATTTCCTGGAGAAGATCTGGTAGGAGCTGGGAATCACTTGTGGTCTTGAACTTCTTCCCAAATGGAATATCCGAAATAACACTATCAAAGCTTTCTGAAGGCAATGGCAGTGCTGCAGAATAAAGGCAGGTCTTTACTTATCTCTGACTGTGTGAAAAATGCACAGCAGCTCTGCCCCTGTTCCCCCTTCAACACTGCCTGCCAGCACTTTTTGGGCTATGCACATTCACATAATCCACATTTTGGATTATGCAGATTCACATCTCCTTCTGCACTTGCCCTCATGAACGCCACCGTGGAGACACCACCCCTCTGCAGACTGGGAGGAGACAAATGCGTGGCAGCACCGTTCAGTCTGCAGAGTCTCCACTCCTGAGGATGTCTGCCCCTGCAGCAAGACTCTCCTAGGGCACTACACAGTCCCAGATTAACTGCTGCCTCTCAACACCCAGTACATCTTAAACATGAAAATCGTTGAGCAAAACACAAAAGAGCTACATTTGTGAGCACTTTACTCAGTGCAAATGTTCAAGTGCACATGTATGTATGGCAAGGAGCTACCTCCAGTTCCTCTCCATGCCCCTTTTCTTCCCTCAAGGAATCTGATTACAGCCAGAATCACTTGGATCCTGTCAGAGCTCATGCCTTTGAAGGGTCACCTCAGAGCTTCTGCATCCCAGCTGAGGTCAGCTCCCCTAAGGAAGATGCAGCACTGCACCTGTGGTGATGAAGGCTGGCCATGTGCCAGGCTGTGCAGGCCAGCTGAGACCCTTCCTGAGACCCTGGAGGTCCCTCCATGCCGTGCTAGGCTGCACAGCCAGGCTGGGATCCCTCCTGAGACCCTGGAGGTCCCTCCATGCCGTGCTAGGCTGCACAGCCAGGCTGGGATCCCTCCTGAGACCCTGGAGGTCCCTCCATCCCGTGCCAGGCTGCACAGCCAGGCTGGGATCCCTCCTGAGACCCTGGAGGTCCCTCCATCCCGTGCCAGGCTGCACAGCCAGGCTGGGATCCCTCCTGAGACCCTGGAGGTCCCTCCATCCCGTGCCAGGCTGTGCAGCCAGGCTGGGATCCCTCCTGAGACCCTGGAGGTCCCTCCATCCCGTGCCAGGCTGTGCAGGCCAGCTGAGACCCTTCCTGAGACCCTGGAGGTCCCTCCATCCCGTGCCAGGCTGCACAGCCAGGCTGGGATCCCTCCTGAGACCCTGGAGGTCCCTCCATCCCGTGCCAGGCTGTGCAGCCAGGCTGGGATCCCTCCTGAGACCCTGGAGGTCCCTCCATCCCGTGCCAGGCTGGGATCCCTCCTGAGACTCTGGAGGTCCCTCCATCCCGTGCCAGGCTGTGCAGGCCAGCAGGCCTGGGCCCTGCACAGACCCTGGGGTCCTCCATCCCTCAGGGTGCTCCAAACTCGCTTGACACGGCCTTGAGTAGACAGCAGGACTAAAAACTTCCAACAGTCCCTCCTCAACTAAACTCTGCTGAGATTCTATGCCAACTTTTCTACAACTAGCTGGAGATATTTCCTGGACCATTCTTGGGTCAACACTTGCAGCACAACAACTGGGTATCAATTTTATCTGCAAATGAAAGGACATGCCACCTACAGCCCTTCTCAAGACATGCAGAAGTTACAGCTTCTGAGCAGTGATGGAGACACCAACTTGCTCAGTTTAGAAAACCTGACAGCTAAGTACCGTCCATTAGCCTAGAAACCAAAGTCAAACACAGCTTTTAAGTGAGAAATAAACCCACATTTTTATTAAAAAATCAATAATGTTTCTTATCATTCCAGTAAAAAATAAATACTGCAAGGTAAAAAAAAATATGCAAACTTCATCACTCATGCACAGGGAAACTCAGCCAGCTTGCCTGTCATGGATTTCATATAGGCATAATTTAGCCTCAGACTCTGAGGTCCAGAATAAGGTCATACAATTATTTCCTTCTCTACAGAATCGCTTGTAAACCAAGAGAAAATAGACTTCCTTTTACAGGAGAAAGGAACCATAATTCAAAATAATCCTACTGCAAAACATGAACAATGCAGCTCAGCTTAATGTGTCCTCACCAATACTCACCTGGTAAATTTAACTTACAGGCTGCATTTCATTTGGATTTGTCCTGGCTGTGTTCCACTAAGATACAAAAAAATCTCACATGGTTCATACTCTTTATGGTATTGTGGTGGTAAATCACACATTTACCATGAAGAGAGACAATTACTGTCCATGGCAGACAATTGTAATTTTTATTGTCTTCTGCTGACTTCATTCTTACCAAAGTTCCAGGTGCAGGCAGCAGGGAGGAAGTACCTCCCTTCATAATTATTCCTTCACTAGCACTAGCACCAGAGCCACAACCCAGCTATTTGTTGGGAGTTAGCTCTGCAACATATCACCTCAGGGGAACCTACCTGTACAATCCCAGAAACACAAAATATCCACCTGGAAATCCCACAGACATACCTTTCACAGAAGCTTTCAGCAGCTCAATCTTATCCACTAAGCCTGCAGTTCTGATATTGCCATCTGCACCCTCTAACTGTGAGTCACTTATATCAGCACCCCAGTAACAAGCTTCCTGTCCAGAGAGAGAGAAAAGTAACTTTGTGAACACTCTAGTTCTTTATTTCATTAACCCTTCTTGAACTGCCTTGTTGCACAGCTCTTGCAAGACAGCCCCCTTTCTGGGACATCTGCAATCCACAATCCAGAGGGTGGAGCAACGGAGGAAGTATGTGCTGTCTCCACTCTTTTAATGCTCTGGTCTGCTCAAGACACTTGAAATGACAGAAATACCAAGAGCATGTCCTAACAGCACGACCCCAGCTAGATACAGCCAGCCCCACTGCCCCTAATGCTGACAACTGTCCCATGACACCGACTCCTCCGACCCCAGGAAGCTTCACAAGCTCGTGGCTGCCTCACACAAACCCTGCAGTGGGAATCACCAGCTGCACCAGCCTGCAGGACACATTCATCTGGGGAACCTTTGTACTTCTAGCAGCTGCCCAGAAAGATTGGTTTATTTTCACCTTTCCAGGCAGCACTGGGCTTTTGCCTAAGTGGCAGAGAGAAAACCCTGTCCCACAAGTACCAGTTTCCCTGCAGGGGTCCAGCAGCTGGCACTGGGATACTCACAGGCCACTCCTTGGCAGCCTCCAGCAGGATGGTTCCTAGCCCACACATGGGATCCAGCACAAGGGCACCAGCCTACAAAAACAGAGGGGTTACTGCATCCCCAGCATGCCAAACTCCTTACCCAGGACAGAGCTCACAGAGGGATGTGCACAATCCCACTGAACCCAGCACAGGTTAACAAGAATCTCTGGTAATCCCTGGCCAAACTCGCCTGTAAGAGAATATAGTGAAAAGCACCAACAGCTTCACTGCAGACAGTGTGAAGCTATTGGGGAGCTTGAGGAGGAGGAGACGACATTCAGGAGGAAATATTACAAGTGGACTGCAGACAGATGTTGGTACCACTGTGAAAAGAGACCACATTTCCTTGGAAAACAACAGCAAACAACATTTCATTTTTTCACTGCTGCAGAACAGCAGAAAAAATCTTGCCACTTAGACATGAATCTGTACAAGGATTACCAGCTCTGTTGAGAAGCACCTGGAGTTACAGCAGACACCTGGCTAAACTGCAGGTGACAGCACACTCATCACAGGCATGGCAGACCCTGGCCACAGGCACTAGGGAATGGGGCACTGAAATCACCCCACTCCTCCCCAGTAAATGGAGCATTGAAATCACCTAACTCCTTCCCAGGGAATGGGGCACTGAAATCACCCCACTCCTCCCCAGCCCCAGCCCCCATGAGCAGCACCCCATTCCCTTCGTTCAGGACCCATTTCTTCACAAGGAACATTCACTGACCCTGATTTCAGCCAGAGATGCCATGGCCCATGCCACTGTTGACCGCAGTCCTGCTGTTCTGATATACTCTCTGTTTGCCAATGGAAGCCTGCAAACAGCAAAAATCCAAAAAAGTTAACTAAAACAGCAGCAGGACCACCCAGACAAGCCCATGTAATGTCAAAGAACACATGAAATGGACAGATCTCCTGAGAGACAGAGAACTCTGCTTTTAACCATTAACTCACTGCAAAGTCTGGTCTGTGTGTTCATTTAAAACGCAGGCAGATCACAAGACTAATTTAACAACAGTGATTATCAAACCAAAAGATAAATACTCATGGTGGATAGCAAGATTTACAAATCCTGTGTGTTCTGATATTGCCACAACAAATCTGGTGAGGAGAACACTTACCTGAAAAGAGGAATCCCCACCACAGAGTGAATGTCATTAAGATGTACAAAGATCTAGAAGAAGAAAAAAAACAACCCCAACATTTTAAAGTCTCAAACTGACACAACAATAGCTTTAACTCATTTAAACCAGACACAGATGCTTCTACAAACTTCTGATTTCAGTTTTTAAGAACAAAAATCCATACTACAAACAACAACAATTAATTGGAAGAAATCCCACTAGATTATCTGAATGCCACTTTACAGATTATTTAATGCTTAATCAAGCTGAGGGCGATTTTGTCAGCCAGGAATCCATCAGCAAGCACTTGAATTTATAAGGGGGCTTATTTTTCCTTAACACAGCATAGGAATTTTTAGTTATAAATCCATTTACTACAAGTGGGAGAATATTATTCACTGCGTACTAGCAACAAAATAATAAACATTTTAAAAACACCAACTAAACAAAAAACCCCAAACAAAAAAACCCAAACCAAACCCCACCAAACAAAAAACCCAAAACAAACAACAAGAAATTGTTCTGCTATCCTATAGAGAACATCCCAAAAGAAGACTGAGCTCCCCAGCAGGTCTTGCATGACTGCAATCCCTGCCCGCAGGAAGCACAAAGGGAAACACAACACTGCTGGAAAATCCCAGTCCTCAGCACTTGAACAGCTTCAGAGCAAAATCTGGGCAAGAAGAGGAGGTGCAGGTGAGCCTCACCAAAGCTGTACATAGTACACAGTGCTCAGTGTGGGCACCAGCACCAGGAAACAACCTCCAGAGTTTCTGCAGGTCTGGAATCTCTCAGCATCAGAGCTGAGAGCAGCTTCCACAAGCCAAGGGCAGGGATGGACAAACATCCCTGAAGAAACACTCCTTGTCAGGAGCAAGGAATCCTCTGGAAGGTCTCCGGGCAGCTGCACCAGCAAGGGTGCACAAAGGGAGCAGTTTGCTATTTGTGGAGGAACATTCCCCTGGGCCTTGTATGTGATATTCTCAAGTCCAGCCCCTTGAGAACAGCCTATGATGCCTGCTCCCTTCCCCTCCAGAGGCCACAGACACCCATAGCTTAGGTGAATTCCATTTTCACAGTCAGAGTCCAGCAGTCTGTGAGGGTGCTGGATCCTGAAACTCCTCCTCTGGGGATCCTTCTCCTCCCATGCAGGCAGACCCAGCCAGGCTGGGGTTCATGCCAGAGTTCTGGAAGGCACACACACATGCTGATTTTCAGGTAAATTCAGCAGCAGGAAGACCAGCAGGGACAGGCCATGGTCCCACGTGCAAAGGGAGCAGAGAACAAAACCAAAGGTGTCAGGGTGAGTCTGGAAGCATCCACAGGCACACAAGCAGCCCTACCTCCAGGTCAGGGTCCCGCAGATCAGTATGCCACCCACACTGCTTCACCAGCGCCATGCCAATGGCTCTTCCGACCTCCTAGGAGGGGGAGAACAGTCACAGGCACGAAAAAACATAGAACTGGGGAAACTGCAGAGCACAGCCTTGGGTGCACAACCCTCAGAAATCCCAGGGAAGAGTCTATGCCTAAGAGAGTAATTCACACAACTCACAGCAGAAGAGGTGCAACAGGGCAGAGCAGGTGAGTGAGAGGCAAAGCAAACATAGCACAAGGCAAACAACCAACACTCAGCTGCAGCAAGAGGAGAGGCTGAAGTTCCAGATCTGATCGAGTGACAATAAAACATTCACTTGAGCTGGACTTGATCCTTGTGGATCCCTTCCAACTCAGAATATTCTGTGACTACCACCGTTTTGGAATTCTTAATCATATGCACAAAATACTTTCAATGGCTCTAAGGCAGATTACCCAACAGAAAACCTGCAAATGCACAACTACAACTCACAGTATTAATGCTTTCATTATAGATAGAAAGCTCTGATTACCTTTAGAGGTTCAGACACAGCACAAATTTAGGCAAACACCCTCGTAGGGAAGCTCATGTGTACTCACCTCACCAAGGTGCTAGCTTTAGTAGGAAAAAAACCTAAACTACTGACACCTTCCAGTAAGAGTAACCCGCCCAGATGGGAAGAGGGCTGAATAGAACAGACCCCGGAGGACTGCATGCCACTATTCTTTCCTAAGGACCAAGACTCCCAGGGCTGTATTCCTGAAGAACAAATTCTCCACAATACCTAGTCAGAGGCAACTGAAACTGTGAGTTCTGGCTTTTACCCCTTCGTCCAGCCTGCCACAACTGAGAGGAGTCTGGCCCCACGGTCCTTGCAATGGCCCTTCAAGTAGCTCTAAATTATCCAATCCCTCCTCAGCCTCCACAGGCCCAGAACCTCAAACTCTTACCTTTGCTTATCCTCAGCAAAAGGTATTGATTTGAAAAACATAAAGGGTAATAGTGCACAGAAATCAAAAACAGCATTTGTATTTCCACTTGTTTAAGGTGAATGCAGGTTAAGGGCTTTTTGAGAAAATACAGAAAAAGCTTACATCAGTTTATTATTCCAGAAGACACAACACAACTGAAATGACAAACAAACTACACATCTCTGTTCACCCTTGCTGAATTCTTTTAAAGTAGGTACCTCAGCATACCTGTGAAGTCAGTATTCTGGCAATCGCTCCACTGCAGCGACATGACACCCTGAAGCTGAAGCAAAGCTCCTCACTGGCAGCAGGATCCTCTCCACTGCCTCTGGAAGGCAATTCTGAGGAAGTCCTGCTCTCAGTCCAGCACTCCTGCCTGCTCATTCTGTCTGGTGCCTCACAGGTCTCCCCAGCTCCCACCTGACACTCTTCAGACACAATTGCCTTCACTTGCTCCGTTTTCCGCCTTTTACTTGCAGTATTTGTCTCTTCTTCTGACTTTCTCTTCAGAGCCAATGCATTTTCTTCAGAGCCATAATGTGTTTTCCCCTTGTGTCCATGAAGCTTTCTCCAAACAGAGATAATATCCAGCCAGTATTTCGGGTCCTCAATGACAAGGCTTTTAATCTCATGAAGCATTTTCCCTAGAAGAAAAAAAACAGTTTTGGGTTAAGTATCTCATCCTCGGCATTCCACTTCCCTAGGGACTGAGCACAGCTGTTCACAGCAGCTGTGTTCAGATTTCATTCATGTGCGAGTCCAGAATCACAGCCACAGCTGAGCACTCAGCACCCACCAGGAGCCACAGAGGCACCCCTCTGATTACCAGCACTGCACAACCAAGACTAAATCATGCAAGGGTTGAATTCTGCACAAGAACTCAGCAGCTGTAGAAAACCAGAGCACCTGTGAGTGTCATTCCCAGGGACAGAGCACCAGCCTACCATGCCACCCTCCCCAGAAAGCACTTGACCCAGGTTTAAGCGATGCAGAACACTCTCCAGAATTGAAAGACAGATACAAACATTAATTACTTTGAGTCATCTCAGGCAAAACCAAGTTTATTCTTTCAGAAAGAAAATTCCTGCTTCCCATTCATCACTGTGCCTTCAATCCTGCAACACACACCTACATGTGTGGGCAGTCCCAAGCTAGCCACAAGAGAGGCATGAGGAACAGAGAGGCCAATTCACTTAAATACATGAAAGCTGGTCAAGGAAAAAACATAAATTCTAGTTATCACTTAAAATCTTAGAATCATGATCAAATTTCATCTTCAAAGCTGAAGGTAATCTCCCAAATAAAAATCCAGCAGCAGGCAGATATCAATCCATCTAACTTGAAATTCTCACTCCAACACTGACAGAGAACATGATCCAAGCGGCATACTTAGGAGTAAATTGACACAATGTATAGGTCGGGATTCACTTCGTTTAACAGAAAATAAGACTTGTTAAAATAAACACAAGAGATCTAGGACTGAACTTTGGTTTTCAGGTGGGTTATTATTCTCTTTTTTGGGGCTGGGCAGGGGAAAGGGTCTTTAAAATACAGATATACGCTCAGTGCCAGCAGAATACAGGCTGCAAGGTAGCTATGGAAAACAATTTAAAAGCCCTTTTCAGATCAAAAAAATGTTGAAAACGCACGTGGGTGAAAGACACTTCAGGATCGATTACTGTCAATTAGAACTACAGCCACCAGTAAAAAACTAAACGCTTCGAATGTTATAACCAGGACTCAAACCAAGTCCGTACCTCTGTTCCCGGACACCGGCAGCGGACTGTGCTTCTTCAGCAGCAGGAACAGGCGCTCCCCCGAGCGCAGCTGCCGCAGCTCTCCAGGTCCCGCCGCTGCCCTGAAGAACACTTTTCCCGAGACGCAGTCCACCTGCGGGGAGAACACCCGTCGGACCCGGCCGGGCGGCTCCGGGCCCGCGGCAGCGCAGCTCCGGCTCCCTGAGGGCGAGCCCCTCCGACCCCGGCCAGCCACGCGCCGGGGCGGCACAGCCCGGGCCGTGCTCGCCGGGCTCCGGGCGCGGAGCTCTTCGTTTTCTGCTGATAAGGGAGCAATAAATTCCCTTTCTCTGAAAGATTTAGGTATCCTGCAGCCGCCATCCGGTGAGGGCCCCTCATTCCTTTCTAAAAGAAAACATTCCACATACATAGTTCCTATTTTAACTCAAACAAAAGCTACCCTTTTTGCTATGAAACTACATTTACCATAGTATTAAAATGTTAATACAGCACTACTCAATACAACTTAAATGTGTATAGTAAATATCTGCGTAGAGCCATATAATATGCACTTCTCACAAAAGTAAATAGTGAAATAGATCTTAGTCCCGAAATACATTCTCTCTGTGCCTGCCAAATCCTTCTACATTTACTGTAAACCCATCACTTCAGATCATGCTGCATCAAATAATATCTTCTCCATAAAACGTATTTTTTATATGTAACCCAGTGGTAATTTTTAAGATATTTCTCCTCAGACAGTCTCTAAACTCCCCCAAGTTATCTGCTTTATTATTCTGGCAGCTCTGTGCTATCATTTAGTTGTGTTGATACGAGTATTTAAGTATTTCCCTCATTATGTTCACAGAATCAAGGAGCCACTGAGGTGGAAAAGCCCTCTGAGCCTGTGGAGTCCAGCCGCTCCCCCAGCACTGACCCTGTCCCCTAGTGCACATCCACGTGGCTGTTAAATCCCCCCAGGGATGGGGACTCCCCCTTGCCCTGAGGCAGTCTGTGCCAGGGCTGCACAGCCCTTTGCAGAAGAGTTTTTTCCAATATCCAGCCTAAACCTCCCCTGGCACAACTCGAGGCTGTTTCCCAGTTGCCAGCAGGGTAGTACTGTAGCACTTACTGAGGCACTTGTACAACTGTTTGTACTGCCTGATGCATGGGTAGTGTTCTGGTGCCATGCTCCAGATCCACACATGTTACTGGGAAATCTGTCTTGATGTCCTTACATGAGTGTTTAATCACTAGAATCATACATTGCAGCTCTTTTGCTTTGTACAAGTATTTAAACAGTAAGTGGGCGTTTCTGAGCAGGATGTGATCACTTTGTGCAAAGGCGAAGCAGCTCCTAGGCTGTGGAAAGTCCAGTTTCAAATCTATGGCCTAAAATAAAAAACTGGATCTGTACCACAAGTGACACTGAGTAATCATTATTTGCAAGTATCACAGTCATGCAGAATAGGGGAAACTCAAGTAGAAGTTCCCGTTCCCTTAACAGACAGCACAGCTTTTAATTGAAAAAAAAGGTTTAGTGTTGGACCTGCCAGTGCTGTGTTAGTGGCTGGACCCAGTGGCTTTGGAAGGCTTTTTCAACCTCAGCAATTCTGGAATGCTGTCACTACAGACTTTGGCAAAAAGTCTCTCTCCATCGTTCTTACCGCCCCCCTTTCAGTTCTGAAAGAGCACAGTGAGTTGTCCTTGGAACCTTCTCTTCTCCAGACTGAACACCCAGGTGTCCCAGCCTGGCTGCATAGCAGAGGGCCTCCAGCCCTCGGAGCATCTCCGTGGCCCTTCTCTGCAGCTGCTCAAACTGCTCCGTGTCCTTCTTGCACTGAGCAGCTCCAAGCTGGATGCAGTGCTCCAGCTGGGAATCTCACCAAAGTCAAATGTGGGGAAGAATGATCTCCCTTGACCTGCAGCCACACCACGACTGGTACAGCCAGGTGCCATTGCCACCTGCACACACCTGGGCTCATGTTCAGCCACTGTCACCAGCACCACCAGGGCCTTTCCAGCTTCCCAGCCACTCTGTCCCAAGCCTGGCATGTTTCATGGGGTTGTTGTGACCCAAGACCTTGGCCCTGCTGACCTGTGCAGCACTAGTCTCGGCCTATCCATCCCATTATCCCATTCCATCCCATCAATGCAGCCCTTCCAGGTGAGATCAGACTGGTCAGCAGAATGTGCCTTGCACCAGCTGGGCCCAATCCCCTGGTTTGTGGAATCCTGGCTGTCCTCCTTTTGGTGCATCCCAGGACATGGCTGGCAGTCTGGGCTGCTAGTGCATGTTGTCAGCTCATTGCCAGGTTTTCATCCACCAGCACCCACAAGTCCTTCTCAGGGCTGCTCTCCATACAGAGTCCTGGAACCACAGAACATTCTGGGTTAGAAGGGACTTTAAAGCCTGCTCATTCCACCCCGCTGCCATGGGCAGGGACACCTTCCACTGTCCCAGGCCGCTCCAAGCCCCATCCAGCCTGGCCTTGGACACTTGCAGCAATGGGGCAGCCACAGCTTCTTGTGGCAGTTGGTGCCAGGGCCTCACCACCGTCACAGGGAAGGATTTGTTCCCACCCTGCCCTCTGGCAGTGGGAAGCCATTCCAAGTTGTGTTGTCCCTCCAGGCCCTTGTCCAAAGTCCCTCCTGAGCTCTCTTGGAGCCCTTTCAGGTGCTGGAAGGAGCTGTAAAGTCTCTGTGCAGTGGACACTTGCAGCAATGGGGCAGCCACAGCTTCTTGTGGCAGTTGGTGCCAGGGCCTCACCACTGTCACAGGGAAGGATTTGTTCCCAAATCCCATCTAAACCCTGCCCTCTGGCAGTGGGAAGCCATTCCAAGTTGTGTTGTCCCTCCAGGCCCTTGTCCAAAGTCCCTCCTGAGCTCTCTTGGAGCCCTTTCAGGTGCTGGAAGGAGCTGTAAAGTCTCTGTGCAGCCTCTCTTCTCCAGGCTGAACAACCCCAAGCCCTCTCAGTGTGTCTCCTGAGTTTGTCTCCTTGGCCTAATCTCTCTGTCTTCCATGTGGCTCCCATCACCTCTGCTCCAGCCCATCACTGAGCACGTTCTGGTTCCACTGCAGGCCTGGGCTGCGTGCAGGTGTCAGCACTCTGCTCACCTGTCCTGCTTCTCCACAGGCCTACGGCATCGTCTGGAGAGCAACCGACCGCCAGACAGGAGAAACAGTTGCTGTTAAAAAGATTTTTGATGCTTTCAGGAACAGAACAGATGCTCAGGTGAGAAATTACTGTCCTGTGTTCTGAGATGTGGTGGGATTCCATAGGTATTTTCAGGACTTTTGTCTCTGAAAGATGATAATTATGCACATAACAATATAGTCTGCAGCTATATTGGGATAAAAACAAGCAATAAATATCAAGCTTTTTGTATAAAGAGGATGTATAAAAGAGCATGTATAAAAGAGGAGTGGATTTAACCCTGTCATTGAACTACATCTCTGTTCTGCTGTTCTCTTGAGGTGATAATAAATTGTTTTTTCTTTATTTCCAGAGAACATTTCGAGAGATTATGTTCCTGCAGGTAATGCCCATGTTCCCCCTTTTCTCTGATTTTTTTATTATCTCTGATAATAAAAATTTCCAAAATGCAGCAGTCATGGATTAGTGTTGATAAGTCTTTAATTTCTTTTCTTCACCATCTTGGCAAAGAGCCTTTCACCTGAATGAAACACTCTCCATTTGGGCTTGTTTTTACTCTTTCCCCATTTTTAGTACTGTGTCTACTGCAGAGCACATCAGCACCTTCTGTCACTTATTGCTGCTTTGTGATAGAAACTGTTTTCTCTTACATTTTAACTGCCATGATTGGAGGATGCCTGGGGTAAGAGAGGGATTTACACTCCAAAATTGTTTTCCTCCATCATGCAGTAAGCAATTTAATTACTTAAAATAATCTAACCAAAAGAAAAAGGGAAGTTCTGCAAGGAATAACTTAAGACTACGCTTGTTTTGATATAATTGACCTTATCAGTGGTATTCCAGTTATCTGTCCACTCCTCCTTAGACTTACCATAGAAACATCAATATTTTGGAATAATGTTGTATAACTTGTGATTTTCTAAAGACACAAGTGAGGCAGGGCTCATAGAAGAGGTATTTCCTAAGACTGCCAAGTTTAAGTAGGAAAGAGATGATTTTTTTTTTTAACTTTTTAGTCATTCTTAAAGCCTGAAATAGAAGCTGCAAACTTTAAAGCTAAAAATAGAAACAGTTCCTTAGAAATGAACTACCATAGAAGTTTGATCATCTCTGAAGGTGCAGCACTCCTGGAATGGATGGATGGAGTAGGAGCAGGAGAAAAAAGGATATTTCTTCTGAAGGAAAGGAGGAGTCACTTGGCAGCGGAGGGCAGGCAGAGGGAAGTTAATGTGCTGCTCAGCCCATACTTCCATAACTTCTGCTGCTCAATAGACTTTAAGAATTTTAGTTTCCTCTCCTGTTTTAAACCTCTTTCTTGAGGCTCAAGACTGAGGGCTCAGAAAGGAAAAGATATGAAAAACACTCCATTATTCATAATTGCATGTTTGTCTTAATTTGTTTGCCTGTGCATAATAATTGTTTTGTTCAGTCTTGATGTTGATCACAAGGTCATTTGATGGACTAGGTTATTGTTTTATGTTGTGTATCTCAATTATTCTAATTGAGAAGTTGCTGTAGAATCTGGGGTGTGAATGATTCTGTGATGCTCTGGTCATTGATTGCAGGTTTTGTGTTTACTGTTCAGTGTAGTTGTAGATCTACGGGTGTATTTTAGGCCAATTTTAGAATGTCATTTTGGTAAGTGTGTTAGTAGCATTATTATTCTTCAAGCAAAGATTAATAGAAGTGGCCCTGACAAGGTTTTTTTCATGTTTTTTTAGTACAGATTGAAGTTTTGTCATGACTTTCTATTATCAGTTCCAGGGCAAGGCAGTGTGAGACAGTGCAATTTTCCTTCTTAAATAGCACTCAAGTCCAGATTTAGCTGCATCTCTAGAACAATACCCCCTTCTGGGTAAAAATCTTCTTTAGATCCTGTGGATGGGTTTTGTGGCTATGCTCAGAATGAAAACTAAGTGTGTCATGGGCTGGCTGTGTCTCACTGCCTTGTGAGTGTGTTTTCACAGGTTGCTGCAGGTGAGTGTGTTGTTTTGGGAGCTTTCCTGGATGTTACACATTATAAAATGTCACAGTGTTATGAAGTGTTTACGGTGTCCCTGGTTACACAGAAGTGGGAAATAAAAGCTGTTAAAGCTGGGGATGTACTTAATGATCCTGTGATGTCAGTCATGGGAAATGTCAGTCTGTCAAATGTCAGTCATGGGAAATGTCAGTGTCAGTCTGCAGAAATGTGAGGATGGCCTCCACCTGCAGTGTGGTACCTGTGTTCAGGTATCTCTGTGTGCTGTCTGATCTCCATGGAGTCAGTTCCTCAGTGCAGCCTGTGCGTGTCTGAGCCAGCCCTCAAATCGATGTGTTCTGATTGTTTGGGGTTTTAACTATGAATGTTGATGACAGCTATGATCTATTTTCATGCCACAATAATTCTTTGGTTCAGTAGGAAATGTGAGGTGTATAAAGAGGATTGGATTTTATTATAAATGGTATAGAGGGAGTGTTAGAACTAATGTCTCATTCAACAGAGATTTTTTTTTTAATTAACTGACTGGTTTCCTACTATGGAACAAACTTAAATCCTTTTTTAAAGTTTATTTCAGAAGAAACCTAATGGAGGAAAAAGCATGTTAATGTTTGATCTAGACAGTAATACAAACTGAAATAGGTTATTGTCCCTTTTTATGATTCACAAGCAAAACACATGATTTTGACAGCTGGGTCTCCTCCTATGCAGGAATTTGGAGAACATCCAAATATCATCAAGCTGCTCGATGTTATCCCAGCAGAGAATGACAAGGACATCTACCTCATCTTCGAGTCCATGGGTGAGGCTCAACACTGCAGCAGCCACTCAAACCCAGCCTCTCTTAGGAGTTTTCTTTGTTATCACTTTGATAGTGAATGCTCATGATACTACTGATATTTACTGATGTCAGTATATTACTGGTGTATTACAGAGACTGATTTACATGCTGTGATTAAGAAGGGGAATGTGCTGAAAGACATCCACAAATGTTACATTCTCTACCAACTTCTGAAGGCAACTAAATTCATCCACTCAGGGAATGTTATTCACAGAGATCAGAAGGTACATTTCAGTCATGGTCTGTATCCTTCACTCCAGTTTTCTGTTGAACACTAAATAAAATCACAGATTGATTTGGGATGGGAGGGACCTTCAAAGCCCATCCATTCCCATCCCCTGCCATTGACAGGGCCACCTTCCACCATCCCAGGTGGCTCCAAGCCCTGTCCAGCCTTGGACACTGCCAAGGATGGGGCAGCCACAGCTTCCTCGGGCACCCTGTGCCAGGGCCTCACCTCTCTCACAGGGCAGAATTCCTTCCCAATATCCCATCTAACCCTGCCCTGTGCCACTGGGGAGCCATTTCCCCTTGTGCTGTCCAGGCTGTTTTCAAAGTCCCTCTCAAGCTCTCTTGGCACCCCTTTAGGCACTTGTAGGGGCTCTAAGATCTCCCCTGGAGCCTTTTCTCCCCTTAGCTCCAGCTGTCTCAGCCTGTCTCTGTAGGAAATGTATGAAAAAATGTACAAGTATGAGACTAGTAAAAAAACCTTGATAATCTGCTATTCAGAAAGGGGCTCATGAATTGTGCTGTGTCCCATGCAGCCTTCCAACGTGCTGCTGGATGCCCAGTGCTGTGTGAAGCTGTGTGACTTCGGGCTGGCCCGCTCCCTGTGCCAGCGGGGCGAGCCCCAGCCCAGCCCCGCGCTCACCGAGTACGTGGCCACGCGCTGGTACCGGGCGCCCGAGATCCTGCTGGCCTCCCGCCGGTGAGTCAGGGAGGGGAGGGCAGCCTGGCACCTCACCACTTGCACATTTTTTTGTCTAAAAGTCTTCAGTCAGTGTCACCAGATGCAGTGTCATGTCAGCAGTCTGCTTTCTCAGTGTACAATTAAACTTCTGCAACACAAAAACCTCTTAAGAGCATGTACACGTCCTTCCTGTGTTCTTAGAGTGTCAGTGGACATACTCAAGCAGCTCATCTGCTCGTCACCCTTTCTCCCAGCAGACTTATGCCTTCTCCCTTAAACCCACAACTTTAGAAAATCTGCTTGAGAATGTGAATCCTCTTTTCCAAATTGAAGCAGTGTTTTTTGATAGACCTCCACGAAATATTCCCTAATCAAATGTTAAACCAGCTGCCTGTTAGTCGGGCTTAGTCCTTTTTTTAAAAATTAAATATGAAAAAACCAGAAAAGTCAATAAATAGATGTGAGGTAGTATCCCGAATTTTAAATGTGGGTGTTTTGCAAATTGTCCTATACCCACTGTTTGGCATTTACTTTGCTTACAAATGTAATTCTTAAGTAATTGTAACTACTTTGTATGTGCATTATGACCAAAGAACAATGTATATCTTCATTCTTGGTCATATGAAAAGGATATAGTACTTGTTCTGGCATTACCTTTAATATATTACCTTGTTCTAGCATTTCCCTGTAATAGATTTTCTTTTATGGTTTCTTAGACTAGACTTTGAGTAGGATAAATGTTCTTTCTGTTTCATGCTTACCAGTCTCATGATTCCCAAATGTTACTCAATTTATAGTTCAAACCTGTGAGTATTTATATTTGAGAAGTCACCAAGCATGCTTTCTAGTGAATAAATCAATGTAGGTGATGTGAATACCAGGTACAGGAAAATATTTGTTTGATTTAATCCTACCATTGTTCTGTTCCTGTTTGTAGTTACACAAAGGGTGTGGACATGTGGAGCATTGGCTGTATTCTTGGAGAGATGCTGCTTGGAAAGCCTCTTTTTCCTGGAACATCAACAATGAACCAAATAGAGCAGATCCTGAGGGTCATCCCTGCTCCATCCCCAGAAGGTAGGACCCTGCTGTGGGGAAAGGGATCTCTTGAAGGGGTTCAGTGGAAGAAAGCAGCCTGGCTGGGTCAGGGAAGAAGGTATCTCGTTCATTCTGGCCCCTTTCCAAAGGAATTAAAATCCTCATTCTGAATGTTAGTGTTAGAGAAAAATTAGAAATTCAGATATCATTGTGCTCTGCATCTGTTGCTATGAGAATGCAAGTTTATGAAGTGTACAAATTAATAAATAGGAATTCAAAAATCAGCTTAGAAAATTTGTAAGTATTCCATCCCCCTTCCCTAGATCTCCGAGTTCTTCCTAGATCTCCGACCGAGTTCTGTGTGGATAATTTCCTAGGTTAATATCAAGTATTGGCTTTCCTTCATTAACTGTGCAGCTCTGCTAATCCTCTTCTTGGCAGTAACAGTATGTTTTTATTCTTGCAGATATTTTGGCTCTGCAGTCAGAGTACAAGGCCTCAGTTATTAAGCACATGAGTTCCAGGTAAGCTTGAGGTGTTCGTGTGTCCCAGATCATCTAATGCAGGACCCTGGAGTCACAGAACCACAGAACAGTTTGGGTGGGAAGGGACCTCAAAGCTCATCTCATTCCACCCCCTGACATGGACTGGGACACCTTTCACTAGACCAGGCTGCTCCAAGCCCCATCCAACCTGGCCTTCCAGGGATGGGGCAGCCACAGCCTCTCCAGGAAACCATTCCAGTCCCTCAGTACTCTCACAAGCAATAATTCCTTCCCAGTACCCCATCTAACCCTACCCTCTGGCAGTGGGAAGCCCTTTCCACTTGTGCTGTCACTCCACACCCTTGTCCACAGTCCCTCTCCAGCTGCCTTTGAGCCCCATCAGCAGTGGAAGGGGCTCTAAGTTGTCTCCTTAAAAAAAAATTATTTAAAATATGAGTAAGATTTGGTGCTTAAAACTGATTTTTTTCAAAATACTTTCTTCTTCATTGTGTTCACAATTGTATTTAGGATTTCAAAATGCAAAACCAGATTTTTAAATTTTATCTTCTCTGTAAATTACAGAGAAGTATGTTTCTGTAATCTCAGGTCTAGATTTGTGGGATTGTGGGGCTGGGAAGTGATGAGCTTTAAGGTCCCTTCCCGGCCAAACCATTCTAGGATTCAGTGATTATGACACACTTTGTGAGTCACCTTGTGCCTGGTGTCACCTTGACATGATCCTGGAACTGTCACTCCTGCCTTTACTGGAGATTAGACACTGAGAGCTTTTATCATTTTTTTCTGACTTCTAGGCAGCGAGTAGCATTTGAGGAGATTTTCCCATCCTCCACTCCACTGCCTGCCTTGGATCTGCTGAAGAAACTTCTGGTCTTCAACCCTGACAAACGGCTCACAGCAGAGGAGGCTCTGCAGCATCCTTACGTGAGCAGGTGAGAGTGACACCAGTGTGCAGCTTCCCCTGATGTCTTCTGAGACATTACAAACTTGCTCTTGGCATAAATTTTCTTTAAAGGCATTATGGAAAAAATGGCAAAGCTAATTCTTTGTTTTCTCCAACCCTATTTACACGAGATTGTTTAACAATCCTGTTTAAATTTTAATAATCTGTTTCCAGTCATGTAATTTCCATGAATTACATGATGTGTTCTCATTCCCTCAGATTCCACTGTCCTTCCAGGGAGCCCTCTTTGGATTTTGATGTGATCCTTCCTTTGGGTGATGATGTCCAGCTGTCTGTGGCAGAATATAGAAATAAATTATATGAGGTACTTTCATCCTATTTTCCCAAATCATAATCCTCCAGGTAACCTGCCATTCTTGCACACACTTAACAAATTCTGTCATTGTCTTGTCTCTGTGTTCTCTGGGCTTTCTGTACCTGCTGGCACATTTACACCTGTGATCAGTTCCATACTGTCCTAATCTTTGAGAGACCTTTACATGTAAAATTCCCATAGGGCAAAGAAAAATCTGAAGCATGATGTCTGAGAAAGATTCACAGAATGGTTTGGGTTGGAAGGTACTTTAAAGGTCATCTAATTCCAAAATTATACTTGTTACTTACCCTGTGAAATAAATTGCAGATATTTATAAGTATTCCTCTTTGTTTTGATGCTTTATTTTTCTGCTGTATTGCTGTGTTATGTCTAACTGGCTTTTCTGTTCTGCAGATGATCCTTGAAAAGAAGTCAAAGAGCCTTCCAAAGGAGCAAGGGCAGAGAGAAAACATCCAGCTGAGCCAGGCTGAGTCTAGCACACCTCTGCCAGGTTTCGGCTCAGTGGCTGCACCCACCAGGAAAGGCCAGCAAGAGCCAGCACCCCCTGTGCTAAACCCTTCACATGTGCACCCCGGAGCCACAGCTGGGGCCCAACCAGCAGGGTCCAGCCAGAGCAAGGATTTGGCCAGAACTCTGGGTCAGAGATCACAGATTAGTGTCATGATGTACAACCCCATCACACACACCACTGTGCAGAGTAGGTACCACCCTCCTACACCGGGGTGTAACCTGCCTTGGGGTGTTGGTGTGGGGAAGAGAGCATGAGGGCTGTAAAAGAAATTAAGGGAATTTGCATGGTAAAATGAAAGGCTGGAAGTGTGGGAGGGAAATGACTTAAGAACAAAACACTGTTGAATGTATGTTGAGTATGGGACTGTCCCTGCCTCAGTCAATGTTTCTGTGTTCTTCTGATTTTCCTACTTTCTCTTATGTTTTTCCTTCTGTAGGAAATGCAAATCCTGGTGCTGGGATCAGGAACTGTTCTGCACCACCTCAACAGTCCAGAGTCTCCAGCAATGAGAAACTAGGGAGACAAATCACATGGCCAAACACTCGGCTCTCTCCTACAAGTGTGCAGAACCTTTACAATGTGAGTAGCTTAACTTCTAGCTCTTACCTGTGGTAACCTGGGTTACAGCAACTCCCTGTAGAGCTCCACACAGAGTGGCTGGAAGGCTGGAAAAGGTCACCTGGTGCTGGTGCTGATGACAGCAGCTGAACATGAGCCCAGGTGTGCCACGGTGAACAAGAGGCCAGTGGCACCTGGCTTGTAGCAGGCACAGAGTGACCAGACACCCAGGGCAGTTCCTCTCTGACTGCTAGACATTGCTGAGGGACCTCCAGTCCTGAGGGCAAGTCTGGGCTCTTCCCAACAAGAAAGGAGGGGCTCCATTGAGGGGCTGCAGTGTGTCCAGAGAAGGGAACAGAGATGGAGGAGGGTCTGGAGCCACAGCAGCAGCTGTGGAGAGAAGGAGGCACAGGGAGGACCTTCTCACTCTCTGCAGCTCCCTGACAGGAGGGTGCAGCCAGGTGGGGGTCAGGGTTTGCTGAGTAAACAAGTGACAGGATGAGAGGAAATGGCCTCACGTGGTTCCAGGAGAGGTTTAGCTTGGATACTGGAAAAAACTCACCTGCCAAGGGCTGTGCAGCCCTGGCACAGAGTGCCTCAGGGCAGGGGGGGATTTAACAGCTGCACAGATGTGGCACGTGGGGACAGGGGTCAGTGGTGGCCTTGGCAGTGCTGGGGGAGCAGCTGGACTCAGTGGGCCCAGAGGGCTTTTCCAACCTTAGTGATTCCCTGACTTCATGATTCTGTGGGTCCAATGGGTTGCTGTTGCTGAGCTGTGAGGGTGTCAGTCCTGTCCTCTGTGCTCCTCCCTCTTCCCTGATTTTGGCTATGCTTCCTTGGAAAAGTCCTCCCTCTCACTGGGTTCTTTAATGACCTCTTGCTTCTGCTTTTTTCCTTCCTGAGCTGGCTGTCTGCTGCCTGCTGACTGCTGGCACCTGCAGAGGTGATGGAGGAAGCTTATGACAGAGGGAAGAATATGGAAGGAGGCAGCACAGTTTCACTGAATCACAGACTGCCTTTTTAGGAAGGGACCTAAAAACTGATCTCGTTCCACCCCTCTGCCATGGTCAGGAACACATTCCGCTAGTCCAGGTTGTCAGAAACCTTCAAGCATTTCCAGTAGTACACCTGTGGCCCACCTTTCAGCCCCTCTGATTTGGAATCCCTTCCAAAATGCTTTGAGAGAAAGAGAAGCCATTAATTCCCCAAGATGGGATTGTGGAGCTTGCTGCACATGCAGGTGTAGACATGACCAATGGGTTTGGAAGGATCTTCAGGGAATTGTGACCAATTTTCTGTGACAAGAAGAGGCGAAGAGGGAGAAGATCAGCCTACGTGTGCCCTGAGTTCGTGTTTGTTTCCTGAGAGGATAGTGCTGACCAAAGCCAAACCTGTGTCCTGTTTGCACTCCCAAAAGCTGATTTGAGCTTATTAACTTCTCTTGGCTTTTCTTTCTCACACAGAATCCCAGAAACTCTCAGTGTCACAGCAAAGATGTTCGTCCCCTTCTGAAGCCCAGTAAAAAGATGTTCCAGATCACTGCAAATGTGGGAGCTGCGGGTGATCCAAGGGCATCCATGGGCAGTTACTCCCAGGCCTATGGAACCATCAGTAAATCTGCACTGCAGAGCCTTCCAATAGCAAAGGCCTCCAAAAACCCTGAGCAGTGACTGTGGAGATGTTCCAGACAGGTGAAGTACAGCTCATCCCTCAGCCCCTGACTGAGCAAGAGCAGCAGGGGAGAGCAAACTATGAGGAAATGCTTTATTAACTGCTTAGGACAATGTCCTCCTCTCCTCTGGACAAGCTCATAGGAAAGGGAATCCAACTCCTCTGCCTTCCAGTCTCAGCAGGCAAGGACACAGCGTTTGCTCTCACACCCTGAGAACAGTGAATGCTGTCACTTCACACTCCTTGTGTGAATTACTGCAAAAACCACAGAAAACTGGATTATTCTGATACTCGAGTGGGTTTTAGACATATTCAGGGTCCAGGGGAACCTCCTGAAGTTCAGCAAGGCCTAGTGAAAGGCCAAGAAAATGCTCTGAAGGTTTGAGTCCTGCTGTGGAGATAGGCTGGGAGAACTGGAGGTGTCCAGCCTGGAGGAAAGAAGGCTCCAGGAAGACCAAGAGCCTCTTCCAGTGCCTAAAGGGGCTCCAGGAGAGCTGGAGAGAGACTTTGGACACGGGTCTGGAGTGACAGGACACGGGGAATGGCTCCCCACTGCCAGAGGTCAGGGATGGATGGGGTGTTGGGAAGAAATCCTTCCCTGTGAGGGTGGTGAGGCCCTGGCACAGGGAGCCCAGAGCAGCTGTGGCTGCCCCATTCCTGGAAGTGTCCAAGGCCAGGTTAGACAGGGCTTGGAGCAGCCTGGGACAGTGGAAGGTGTCCCTGCCATGGTAGGCAGGGGTTGGGACTGGGTGACCTTTAAAAGGTCCTTTCCAACCCATTCCAGGATTCTTCAGCAGTTTGCCTAAATGGTGATATTTTTTTGAGCAGAAGAGGTAACTGTTCTCTGAAGACCATGAAGACCTAACTCTTCACAGATAATCTTACAGCCCTTCACTCATTTCTATTACTGTTCTAGACTAGATGAACAGAATTCATTATGGTCTGGTTTTGTTAAAATCCAGTAGAAAAACATTTGAAATACAGGTGGTTCTTCTACAATATTTAACAGCTTCTCTAGTATGTAATATTGTAATAATATTGTAATAATAAATCCTTTATATTGCACTGCAGAAAATCTTTGTCATTCAAGCAGCATTTGCTGTGTTGAGAGGGAAACTGCCTATTGGTAGGACTGTCTTCTTCAATGAATTGGTAATTTTTATTGGTTTTGTTTTCAGAAAGCAAAGTTTCATGAGATACTATTGCTGAGACATAAAGGTGTTGCCAGTCTACAGTGGCACTACAGGAAACTTTATATTCCTGTTTCAGTGATGATTTTGGATACATTTTCCTCATTAACTTGAAGCTCTTGTCTTTGTCCCTGAGGTTTTACTCTACTGTGATGAATGATTGTTATTCCCCCTCGCTCTCTCAGCTGCTCCAGACCTGTCACCTCATGTGACTGCAGTTACACTCCCAAGGAAGTCACTGCTTGGCCAAGGCAGGACTTCAGATGCTTATTGAAACTCAGACTCACCTGAAAAGGCCTCCTAAAACCAAGCCCTTCTGCATCAATAGCACCTCAGCATCTTCTTGGAGCTCAGCCCCTAAAGCAGGCAATTCCCTTCTACATAAGGGAACAAACCAGACCCCACAGGCTCTGGTAAACACGAAAGCTGGAGAAGATCAGAACCACAGATTAGGCCAAAATGTTGATTACAACTATTTTTTTTTTTTGTATGTAAACCTTCAAAAATGTGCCTCCTGTGTCTGATTCATTGTGAGATACAGAAAAAGTGTAACTGCACCTGAGAAAACACTTGAGCTTTAAATACTTTTTCCACTTAATACCTGTGTGTGCATCCGTATGTATTTATCTTTTCTGGCCCAAACTCAACTATTGAATTTTCTGGTTTTCATTTTTTTTCTGAAATTTTAATGGTTTTGTCTGCTGAAAATATTCCTTGGGTTTAACAGAGACTATCACTTAGTTTTGTACAGTAACAGAGACTTGTTTTTTAAGCATGTTGGCATTTTAATTGTTTTATTTGGAACATACTGCGATATGGTTGTTTGATACCACCTGACTTTATTGAGCAAACTGTGCCGTGGGAGGCTCATGCTGGATACATTTCTGCTCACTAATCAAGAAGAGCATTGCCATGGGGGTTTGTAGCCATCATAGACAAGTTTCTTCCTTGTTTCCCTGTGACAGTCAGTGATTAAATGGAATTAAATAGGATTTCTAGGATCATTTTTTGGTCTTGAAGGTCCCCAGGATTTTGGGCATGAATTTTCCCATTTTCTTGTCTTTGGCATCTGTGTCATACTCCTCTTCACTGGGACTCGTGTGCTCGTCCTTCTTGCAGAACACCTCAAACCTGCTGTAGACTCGCTTCTCCTTCCGCATGTTCTCCATCTTCTTCAGGAGGGTGTCTCTGTCCTCTGACGGCTGCCGCTGAAAGTTCCGTTTCTGGCTCCCAAAGCTCTCAGACCTGTGGATGTTGCAGCTTTTCTCCTTTTCCCCTTTTCTTTCCAAGCTTGTGGTCGACCTGGAGAGGTCAGGGTTGCTGGTGGATGGCAGCTGCTTGGCCAGCTCGGCTCTGTTCTTCTGGCTGTTGGCAGAGATCTGCTCCAGGATCACCTTGGTGTCGTCACGCAGGTTGCTGCTGTACAGGATGTTGGCTGTGGAGGACGGGAACCTCCCTTGCGTTGTCTGGCTGCTCTTGGGGGGGAGTGGTGCTGCGAATTTGTGGGGTTTTTCTTCCTCCATCGCTTCCTGGCAGTCCCCTATGGATGATCGTTTGAGCACCCCTGCCTGCTTGTCACATTTCCCACTCTCAGAAGCAGGCTCCTCCTCCAGTTTCTTTTCACCTTTTGGATTCAAAAGCTGCTTCAGCCGTAGTGACCCTTTTCTTAAAAACTCCATGGGATTTTGCTCTTGTTTTGAACAGTCTTCCTCAGACTTGTTGAGAGAGCTGTCAGACCCTTGACTTCTAGACAGGCTTTCTAGAACTGAGGACGTAGTACTTGTCCTCACCTGTGGTTTCTTCATTTCTGTGTTGACTAATTTTGGAGAGTCTTCTCTGAAGGTCACTCTGTCCTTCTTCTCTGGAAGAGCTAATTTCTGAGTGTCTCCCACAAATATCAGGCTCTCCTTCTCTGGAAGAGGAGGTTTGTTCTCGATGGGGTAAAACCGGGATGACAGCTTGTCCACCTTAGTGCCAAGATGTGCCAGAGGATCTTTACTCAACGCGTCCCCAAGCTGGGGGGTGGATGAGGCCATTCCAAATGCTCTGTCCAACTCTCCATGCATTTTGTAAGTACTGCAGGAGTCTTTGGAGTCCAGCACCCTGCTCTCCAGAATCTTATACTGCACAGATTTGGTACATTTCTTCTCCGTATTCTGAGATTCCTCCTGCAGGTAACCTGAAACAGCTTTGGTGTGGGTGACCGTGCCCCGTTCCATGTCCTTGCCCACAGCTTTGTACTTCTCCAGCAGCTCAGCCACTTTGGAGGAGGCAGCCGTCTTGATGGTTTCATTGTCCTTAGTTAACTCACTGGACATTTGCTCTTTTTGGATCATCTGCACCTTTTCTATTGTGGTGTTGGGCTGATCTAATTTGGCAGCACTGAAAATCAGAGAGGACCTGAGCCTGGAGCTTCTCTGGATCAAAGGATTTATCCTGGACCTGAAGGCATCTGGTTTCATTATCGAGGTTTCTTCACCTGCTCTATCAGAATCTGCAGATTCCTTGGCACTGTCAATTCCCAGTGGCTTGCTACTGAAGGGCGTGGGGGGTTTGAAGGCTGGGACGAGGTCAGTGGGGTGCTTTGTGAGGGGATCCCCAAGAGCATCGTTATACGCCTCGGACTCCATCGGCATCGGGAGCCCTTCATCTGGTTCAGACTGGTATGCGCTGAGGTACGAAGAAATCCTCCAGTTCCGTAACCCTGTTCTGTTTTCCTGTGTGCTCTTGTCGTCATCCTGCTCTTCATCCTTGTCCTGTAGGAACAGGCGCTGCTCCAGGCTCTGCTTCTGCGTGGGAGAAGTCTGGCAAATGAATTTCTGTCCTATGTTCTGCCTCCGTAACATCATTCCCATGGGGCCGTTGCCCGCGGGGTTCAGCTGGTCGGAGCCGTGTCTCACCTCCCTGGAAGAATTGGAGGGCACATAGTCCAGCCGTAGGGGGAAACCCTCCTGTGGGAAACTGGGCTCCAGTTCAGGGTATCGGGGTCCCTCTCCATAGTCTTCCAGTTCATTGAATCCCGGCCTCCCCCCTCGAATCCTCTCAAAGAATCCCTGAGGTCTGCCAGGAAGATGGGGATGTTCAAACTGGTACTGGTAGAACTGGTCCTTCTGGAAATGACTGGATTGGATTTTGAATTCATCCATGTTGTTCATGAACATCTGCCGGGTGTACTGCTTGGCAGAAGCAAAGTTTTCAAACGTTCCTTCTGCAAAACTGTGTCTCTTAAAAGCGTCCAGCTCCAGCTGCTTGGAGCGGAGGAAGCCCCTGACCGGATCCATCTGGGAATTCTCCATTTCCACCTTTTTGTACATCCGCATGGCCGACCCCTCCACAGTGTGCCGCAGCATGTCGTCCCGCCGGAAATTGGACAGGAAGTACCTGTCCGGATCCACCCTGTCCATGAAGGAGGGGAAGAGACTCTCATCCCTCTGGAACATCAGGGGGCCTTTTTTGGGGAAGAAAGGCATGTTATTGCCAAAGGGAGCCATGGCAAACGCGTTCTCTGCCTTTGCCAAGACGTTGGCTGGAGGAACCAGAGGTTCTGACTGTGCAAACAAAATGCGGAATTCTTCATCAAAGCTGGCCACCAGCTCACCCTGGAAGATGTGTGCAATGCTCCTGTGAATCTTCTCAAAGGACCACATGAAACTGAAGAGAGAACAGAAGTGATGGAGTAACTCAGCTTTACTTGTTTTCATTAAAACATTTGCTCACCTGAAGCAAATTCTGAATGTTCTGGTTGGGAAGAAATAGGGCAAAATAATGGTAGACAATTCCCTTGCAGCTACGTGTTACACATGACTGTTCCCAAACCTAACAGCTTGATTGATTTGGGATCACATCTTTGCAGAGAATTTTACAAGGCAACAAATGATTTCTGTTCTAAAAAGCCAGTCAGTCATGTCACCCAGAGTGAGCTGATGATAGTCCTTGTGTGAAGCAGATGTTCCTGTCTTTAGCACTGTCAGTAACGACCTGGACAACTGCCACTGTGTCCCCTCAGCACCTGGCAGGTGACACCAGTCAGGGGGACCCCAAAGGCTGGGAGATGTGTTGACAGGAACCTCCAAAAAGACAAACCCAAGATCTTACTCGGGGGATGGCACAGCCCTTCCACCCACACAGTCTGAGGGGACTGAACAGAAGGAGCTGGGCTGGAAACGAGGGAGGAAGATGTTCAGTGTTATGGTGTTCATCTTCTCAAGTCAAGCTCTAGTTTATTTTCCTTGTTTGCTGAGCGATGGGAAGCAGAGAAGGGATCCCTTACTTTGCCCTGCCTGTGTTTGCAGGTTTGCTGCAGCTGTTAAAACTGTATCACAACCCAGGAGTGTTCTCACCTTTACAGTTCTCTACCACATCCTGCTGGGAATCATGAGGGACACCTTTGTGAGGCTTGGCTGCCTGCTGGGCTTAACCAAAACCTTAGAATTACTGTCTTTTTTTTTTTTTTTTTCCCCCACAGATTTTTTAATTCTTAATGTGAAGGAAGCTTGGTTTTGGGTTGTCTGGGCTCAAGGCCTTCTTCAGTTGGTGTATCTACCTCCACTGCAAAATGGGGTATTTTTCCCAAAAAACTGCTACTCAGTGTCCTTCAGTGAGCAAAACTTTTATCCATGTCACTGATATCCATGTGGAAGTGCCAGAATGCTGCTTTACCAATTCACCAGCCTGTCTCTCAGAATCCCAGACTGGTTTGGGTTGGAAGGGACCATCACACCCTGTTTCACCTCCCTACCATGCACAGAGACACCTTCCACTAGCTCAGGCTGCTTCAAGCCTTGTTGAGCCTCATCTTGAACACTTCCCATCTTCCTACTTCAGAAATGATACAATATTGGAAAGCCCAAAGCCATGGGAGTGTGGCAGAAGTAGTCCTGAACAATTTACTTGATGCTCTCATAAACAAGAAATGATCCAATCAGAACACTTAGTGTTTGGTACAGAATCAAATGTGAATAATTATTTTCAAACATCAGGGAAAAAACCAAAGTGAAATCTTACTGTCATGGAATATGCACCTTAATCAGATTATTACAATTTTTTCTTCATATACTGTGTTTTTAAATACCCTTAATTCTATTTGCTTAACTTTCACCATGAGAAGCAACTCATGGTAGGCTTGGATCAATCTGGCCTAGAAGGTTTCCCTGCCAACAGCACGGGGAGAAACCACATGAGCTTTAGGGTCTGTCCAACCCAAACCATTCTGTGATTCTATGATGACATTCTTAGAGCATGACAGGTGTTTATCCCATCACCCTTTTAATATATGAAAAAGAAATTATTCTACTGCAACTCACTAAAAACATTTATTCTGCCAGAAATGAATGCCTTAGCTGGTCAAGACTGTTATTCCCAAAAGGATGGTAATGTGTTAATGGCTGATTTCAATCCTAACTAAAACCACCCACCCCTCTGCTGCCCAGAGAAGCTGTGGCTGCCCGTCCCTGGAAGTGTCCAAGGCCAGGCTGGATGGGCTCAGAGCAGCCTGGGACAGTGAGAGGTGTCCCATGTGGGGCTGTGGGGGTGCAACAAGATGAGCTTTAAAGTCCCTTCCCACACAAACCATGCTGTGATTTGATGATTCTGTGAGTGGAGGTCAAAGTTAATTTGGTCCAGGCTAAGATGCAAATCTTATACTCCTTATGCTATGGCAAATTCTCTCTGGAATGGATCAGATGGGAGCTGAGCTCCTCTGCAGCCAAGCCCGTGCACAAAGCACCTGAGTCTCTCTCTGAGCTGGACAGGGCTCCTCACCTGTAGTTGCCACTCAGCACCACCATGCAGTCCACCAGCAGGAACTTCTCCTTCAGGTGCCCCTTGAAGGACATCCCCGTGCGGCAGTAGTAGGTTGGGCCAGACACTGTCCTCACCCTCAGGAACTGCAAACCAGAAAGGCACTGACTCAGACGGGACCCTCATTCCCTCCCCTGCCCCTCCTTCCCTGCCTCCTTTTAACCTCCATCCACCCCCAGTGGGATTATCCAGCTCCAGTGGTTCTGCCTGCACACACTGATGTACAAACCCCTTCCTCAGCACATCTCCAGCCTCACCCCATGTCGTGCCAGCTCTCCTCACTTCACACTCATCTTTCACCAGGTTCTCACCCTTCCCAGGTGTTTCCTGCCATACTGGCCCTCTGAGAGGCAGGACACACCCCCTCAGGACACCAATCAGGTAGGGCAGGTCTGTGCTCACCTCCACATAGTTCAGGTTGATTCTGCACTTGGCAGCTGTGTCAAGGAAGAGCTGGGAGTTCATTTCATCCAGCAGGATGTAGACAGGCACTCGGCGAGAAGCAGCATCCAGCACCTCGAACAGCAGATCCACATCTGTGAAAATGTCCATCACGATGGCCACCACCTGGGGAAGGGATGAGGACACATGAGCCTGTGCTGCCTCATGCCCTGACCAACCGTGTATCCCAGCTTCTCACACCCCAAAGCTGCACTGTCCCCATCTCAGCTTCCTTTTGAAGCAGGAAACATCCCAATTAAAGGTCCCGTTAAGCACTGTGGGCCCCCAACTGGAAGGAGAATTTCTGTCCAGAAAGGTGCATGTTCTGTGTATGCAGGTGAGGGGAAACCTCCCTGCTTGTTTCCCAACTCATCAATTCAATAATTCCATGAACGTTTTGGCCATGTAATGCCAACACTGGATGGTGTATGGAGCTGGTCTCCCACTCCAACATCCCTGTGCCATTTTTAGGTAACTTCCTGGCCAGCATTCAGGCAGCCATTACTCAGCTGCATCCGTGTGCTGATTTTATGGGAAGCAGCTTCACAGTTCTTCCTGTCCTTCCCAGCTCCCTGAGTTGAAATACTTGATGGAAAGGGTGTAAGGAAGGAGTAAAACTCTTCTCAGTGGTGCCCAGGGAGAGGACAAGGACAAACTGAAACACAAGAAATTACAGTTCAGTTACAGAAAAGCCTCTGTGACTGTAAGGAGACCATCAATGTGGGAACAGGCTGTCCAGAAAGGTTTAGTCTCCACCCTTGGAGACGCTCAAGGACACATCCTGAGTGACCCTCTCTAACTGACCTCCTCTGAGCAGGGGGGTGGACAGGACCAGCTCTAGAGGCCCCTTCCAATCTCTAACGTTTTGGGATTCTGTGAACTCTTGGTGTATTTTAGCAAGGCCTAGGACACGATGCCATGACAACAGAGCAGAGACAAGCTTTGGAGCAGTCAATGGTGGATTTGGATCATCCTCCTCCTCTATCAGATTCTGGAAGAAAAGTTAAGGGAATTAGCAGAGGACGTGATCTTGCTCAGCCTGGAGGAGAGGAGGCTCCAGGAAAACCTTACAGCCCCTTCCAGTGCCTGAAGTGACTCTGAGAGCTCAGGAGGAACTTTGGACAACGGCCTGGGGTGACAAAACAAGGGGAGTGGCTTTACCCTGCCAGAGGGCAGAGTTAAATGAGATATTGGGAAGAAATTATTCCCTGTGAGGAGGATAAGGCCCTGGTACAGCATGCCCTGAGCAGCTCTGGCTGCCCCATTCCTGAAAGCGTCCAAGACCAGACTGGACGGGGCTTGGAGCAACCTGGGCTAGTGGAAGGTGTCCATCCCCGTGGCAGGGGGGTAGAACTGGAGGAGCTTTAAGGTCCCTCTGACCCAAACCACTGCACTATAATTGTCTGTCCTGATGCTTCTCTGGCACAGGTGTGGTTTTACCTCTGCTCTAGCTGGGCTCTCCCTGTCTCACCTGCTGAGCTGCTCGAATCATCCTGCGAGCCTCCTCCTTAATGCTGGGGTTGTCTGGTGGGGGTGGCTGCACCAGCGTTGTCACCTCTGTTCCCCTGAAGCCAAAGACCATCGGCCAGCCCAGGTCAAGCTCAGGAACGGCCAGATCTGAGTTCATGGGCCAGTACGTCCCGGAGGATCCGTCCATGTCGTTGTCCCCCGCCGTGTCCGTGCTGCCCTCCTGGTGGGCGTACTGGGGCTTCTGGAGGTTCTGGATTATGTGATCCACCTCGGAGCCACAGAGGAAATCAGGGGCCGCCTCCTCGGCCAGGAAGCGCTGGTAACTCTCCTTGCCCTCCTCCGTGAGCACATCCAGGGCCAGGCGGTAGTACTCCTTGTAGTGGGGGGGAAGGTAGTTGGGGTCCAGGGGGTTGTCCCCCTGGGAGGAGCTTTGGGATCGACGAGCCATCAGGGGAGGGAGAGCTGGAGGGAAACAAAAAACATCCGTGACATACAGCAGTGTCACGACAGCAACACATCCAACACATCCTCCTCAGGGAGCAAAGGCAGCAATTAAAAGAACATGGAGCAATGCTGGAGAAAGTTCAATCCAAAGGCATGGGAGCCTAAAATTAGGCAAAGGTGTGAGTCACTTAACCATCACCTTCACACAGCTAACTGTTTTGGGCCAAAATATGGAACAAATCAGCCAGGCAGCCCTGGGATAAGCAAGGCCAATACATCCAACAGAACAATCAACTTTCTCTTTTAGGCTGCCAGTTGCTAAGCTTCAATTTATTGTTGGTTTAAAACTCAAGAGCAAAGCTGTAGGTGGTTATTATCTACACCCCATTAAAATTAATTTCCAAATGCTACAGAAGTTATTTACTATGTGTAATGTGGCCCTAAACCAAAAGCACCTGCCTGAACACAAGGGCACCCCCTGGACCCTTACAGAGTGGGTTATCACCACCTCAGCACATGAACAGAAGCAGGTGGTGCCTGGGTGCTGGGGTGTCCTGCTGGTGTAACACAGTCAGAAGGCAGAGGAGTCTCCATGACATGAAAGAAGAAATAAAAAACAAGGTATGTGATCACTTCTTCTGTCTCCTCATGTTAAGAAAAAACAGAGCTGAAAGGGGCTCATATGCAATATTTGGTAATAAGGTCCATTCCCACTCAGACCATCCTGGGATTCTGTGATTTCAGGATGCTCAAGTCACCAATGTTCCTGCTTTTAACTACTTCAGCAGTGTCATTTTAAGGACTTGCTCCCACGTTCTACCAATCTTGGACAGAAGAACAATATATCCAACTCATTCATATATGACCCAGGAAGGGGACAGGGGTCCCACAGCAAACTGCTCACAGTGCTCAGAGATGGGAATGTGAGAGACAAAGGACCAAGTGCAGCATTAAAAGGAAGAAGTATCAGAAGAACCCGCTGGTACTGCTGGGCAATCAAAACAGCAAAAGAAAAGGTCATGCTGGTGAAGTGGCAAAGCAATTTGATATTGATTAATATAATTTTTTCACTACAGTTATAAATGAAGAGGGAGAAGACTGAGCTTTAAATAAGCATCAGGCAATAGTGACTCTTACTGGGCAGGACCACAGAAAACAGCAGCACTACACAGGTTCAGCAGGAACTCACAGCTGGAGTCGGCTGGGGATATGGATGTTTTATTCCTCACCTCCCAAAAAGGGAGGTTTATGCCTGAACTCTGATTCCTCAGTCCAGAGGAGACATCTACAAACTGTGACCAGGGCATCTCTGCTGCCAGCACAAGGGCCAGAAGGACAGAAAATGATCCTGCAGGTGGTAGGTGCAGAGGGACACCAGGACACCCTGTGCTCAGCTGGGCTGATCTGCGAGAACTCCGGCTGCTCTGCAGCTCCCCGGCAGGAGGGTGCAGCCAGGTGGGGGTCAGGCTCTGCTCCCAGTGTGTGTAGTGAGGACTCACCTGAGTTCCCCAAGCGGCACCGAGTACATTTGTGAATTAGCAGGGAAAATGGCACCAGTGAAGAATAAATTTGATGTGAAAGCAAACTGCTCCTCGTGGGTTACCCTGAGACACTGGGAGAACAAGGACATGGAGCTGGGGGAGTCCTGGTGTCACTGAACCCAGCAGTGGGGGTGGGCTGCTGGCCTGGATGATCAGGGAAGCCTGCCCGGGATGTTTGGAAGGGCCTGGAAAAGACCCATGGCTCATAACTGTGAAATAAAAGCCAGAAGTTGTGTTTGTGCCCCCACAGGTGTCTGCCCAGCTCTTCACATGTTCCATGGCTTGGAGCCACCTGGTCTGGTGGAAGCTGTCCTTGCATAGGGTGGAAAAGATGAGTCCCTTCCAGCCCAAACCATCTTGTGCTTCCATGATGCCATAAATTTTTGGCATACTTAATTCCCTGGGTTGCAAAGAGAACACCACCATGTTGATGAATCCTCAGTTTGCATGAAAAATGCTGGTTTATACATATAAGTATGTATGTAAATAAATAAATAGCTATACACACACACATACATATATATACACACAAACACAAAGCTCTGGATATTTAATTTATCTTCCAAAATCCTTCCCTGTTAGGTAAAGCAGAAGGGAAGAAAGTACCTGGAACCCCAAAGGATATTTATGACCTTTTGTCACTTTGGTGGGTGTGAGCTAAGTTCAGGTCAAGGAAAATAATTTCTCCTGTTACAGCCTACATCTTGCTGACTTCAGATGGATTCTGCACTTAGTTAATGGATTTTTGTAATTTTGTTTTGCTCTGTTCCAGCCCCTGGGATGACCTGTTTGAAGCTGGCAGAGCTCTGAAGCCCTGGGTCAGATTTGGTGTCATGAAGCTGCTGACTGCCAGGCCAGTTCTCCAGTTCTGGATCAAGCCATCCACTATTTGGAAAGCAATTCCTCTCCAAATCAGATGTAAGCAATCACATACCACTTCTGACTGATATTTGTGTGCCAGAGGGAGGTTTCTAAGACAGAACTGGCTTTTAAACTCCTGTCTTTTCACTTCTCTCTTAACTAGTCTTGCTCCATTCCAAGTGTGTCCATTATCCCAGTGCAAGGCTGGGTTTGGTGGAGGAGCAGTTCACATGCCTCAGGAAATAGGAGATGGATTACTTACTGTGCCACATTGCCCTGCTATTTTTTTCACACCAGAACTGTGTATTCCATGTATTTTGTAGGTGCTTTAAGCCTTGGTTCGTTTTAACCAGAGTTCAGGGAGAACAAGGTCAGGTTTCCCCTCAGAGGGATAGGAGCCTGGACACACATCAGTTATTAGAGTTATCAGCTCTCTTCTTCCCTGATGGCTGGATTCTCTTTGATCAGGGGCACCTAAAAGAACATGCAGGAGACTGAGGGGAGACCTCAGTGCACTCCACAACTTCCTCATGAGAGGAAGAGGAGGAGCAGACACCGATCCCCTCTCTGGGGTGACCAGTGACAAGACGCGAGGGAGCAGCTGCAGCTGGATCAGAGGAGAGTGAGGTTGGAAATTAAAAAAAGGCTTTTCCCCCGAGGGTGGTTGGGCACTGGAACAGGTTCCCTGGCAGAGTTCAAAAAGCGTTTGGACACTCCTGGGCACAGGGTGGGATTCCTGGGGATGATCCTGTGCAGGGCCAGCAGCTGGGCTCCATGTGTGGCCCCTTCCAACTCAGCTTACTCTGTGATTCTGTGACTCCAAGCAGGGGTTGGAACCTTGTTTGAACTTCACCTGCAAATCTATTTCCTGCAGCTTCTTTCAACCCAGAAAAAGACAAATGTTGTATTTCTGGAATTCTGAACCATCAAAACTGTCAAATAAACTGAGCCACAAACTGAAAATACTGCAAATGTAGATTTTCAGCCTGTAAGTACTGATTAATAGAGAATTTTACTTACTTACATGCTTGTTTATTTAATTAGGAATTTCATTTTATTTTATTTGCTGGTCCCAGTTTACAAAATCTTCTGACATGAGTAATGAGAATTTGAGGGAGAAATGAGAATGCTAAAAAGAATAAGGTGTGGCAATTTGCTTGGGGGTCTTAATAATGGGTAACAAAATATTTTTTTATAATGGGTAACAAGATAATCTGTGTGCAGTTACAGCTCATGCACTGAACTCATGAACTGAAGTGGGTACAGGAGGAGAGGAGCTGATGCCAGCCCAGCAGCTGCGAGCAGCTGTGTGATGTGCTCAGCCAGAGGGAACCCTGAACACCCCTCCTTCCATTCCCAAGACAATATTGGAAAACTAAGACCCTGAAGTCCCCTAGTCCAAAAACCCTGCAGTGCACTTCCAGAAGGGAAGAGGAAAGCGCAAGCACATCACCAATGTCCTCCACACCTTCAATAGCCACAATTTTACCAGCAAAAGCTTCCCAGGAAGAGTGGGAGAGAACTGCCCCAGCATTAAACAGGAAAGGAAAGGAATCCTGCTACATCCTGACAATATGACCTGGGAAAAAATTCCAGCAATTGTTTGAAGCTGGATGTTTTGAGCAGAAAACACCGATACAGGACCCGAGACATTCTTCAGACCACTGAGCACACTGGCACCATCCCTACTGATCCTGCAGCCAAGCCCCTGGTGCTTCAAGGAAAGAAAAATTCCAGAAGGTAAATTAGGCAGCAAGGGGGGAAATCTACTTCTCCCCATCACCGAGCCCTTAGGCCTTGGGAAAGTCACTTTAAATGAAGTGCAAACAAACCATAGCCAGGGCAGCAATTGAGGTGCTCACACACAGGCTCTCTGTGTCACCTGGGATGCCTGAAGTCACCTGGCCTGGCCTCCAGCTGCTGCGAGGAGGCTGTGGGTCTCTGCACAGCAGGTGTCAGGCCTGCTGAGCTTTAGATGCCCAAAGGCACCTGGAATGTCCCAAAACCCCCAGGTTTCAGAACCAGGATTACTCCTCCAGAATCAGTGGCCAAATGCATATGTACAATGTGCCTATTTGCACCGCCTTACAGGTGATGGAAAATAATAATATCCAAGAAATATGGGATAGGATTCATCTTCTAACAGGCATGCTCATGTTGGGCCAAATATTCTCTTAATTCTTCTCCTAGACACTAACAAATCAGGCCTGCTAAAGCCTCAGTGCTCAGACCTCAACTGTTTTAACTCTGAGATTCCCCCTTACCCTGTCACACAATCAATCCCACCAAGATCCTGCTTGGAATTGTCAGTGCTTTATACCAGAATTTACCTAGAGGATGGGAGGCAGCTTTGACAGGAGGATGAGTCAGATGTTGGGGACACACTCCTCCCTGTGAGGCCCTGGCACAGGCTGCCCCGAGAAGCTGTGGCTGCCCCATCCCCAGCAGTGTTCAAAGCCAGGCTGGATGGGAGCACCCTGGGATAGTGGAAGGCATCCCTGCCCATGGCAGAGGTGAGGGACTGGATGAGATTTAAGTACTTCCAACCCAAAACATTCCATGATTCCTTCCCAATATCCCATCTAAGCCCTGTCCTTTGGCAGTGGGAAGCCATTC